TTAGGTCTGCCTCCACCACCCATGTAAGATCTCCTCCTACCTCCACCCGCCCCACGCTCTCCAGATCCCCTGGCCAGGCTCTGCGTTTCTGTTTTGCTTTGCATGTATCCCTTTCGATCACACCATGTTCTTCATTATGTGTAGTGTTTCTTTTCTGTCTCCCCACATTAGAACGTGACCTCCACGTAGGCGGGGATTTGGGGCCAGCTCTGTTCACTGATAGACCTCACATGAACCTGGCATATAGGTGCTAAATATGAATTTGTTACAGATGATTTGAATCAGGTGAGGGCCAGCTGGGGACTCTGTTAAGAAGGAAAAGAGAGAGCTGAGGCCCAGGCCTGGGTTTGGGAAACAAACAAACCCTCTATAGTCTGGAACCATTGACGCCTGGTCTGGTTTTTGTTGTTGTTGTTGTTGTTGTTGTTTGTTTTTTAAATATATTTTGATTGATTTCAGAGAGGTAGGGGGAGGGAGAGAGAGAAACATCATTGATCGGCTGCCTCCTGCACGCCCCCTACTGGGGATTGAGCACACAATCCGGGCACGTGCCCCAGACCAGAATCAAACTGGGGACCCTTCAGTCGTAGGCTGACACTCTTATCTACTGAGCCAAACCAGCTAGGGCTGGTCTGTTTGACACTGTAGTATCCCAGGGCTGAGGCAAGCGATTTCTAGTCTATTTCCCAGTTGGGAGAGTAAGAGTTGCCTCCATGCTCCCATGGTATGTCTGCAGGAGGCTGGCCACTGCTGTTCTCAGGGCTGGGGCCAGAGCAGACCCAGGCTGCCTGTCGGTGGTACTCCAACCAGAGTGGACCCGTGGTCCCCACCTCTCCGCCAGAGGACCGATGTCAGAGGCGGTTCTCAGCCGGTCACAAGCAGGACCATGGCCCGACTGCACAGACGTCCTCATTGTAAAGAACTGGTGGGCATGACAATTATGAAACCAGCACTTTGTTAGTTAGGCCAAAGGACAGTGGTTTTGTTTGTCTTCCACCAAAAAAAATGCATCTGAGTCTGAAATCGGCTGCTGGGTTGGAATGACTGGAAAGAAGGGAGGCAGGGGAGGAGGGGAGAGGGAGGTTTAAACAATGTGTCATTTCACTGGAACAAGGGCTTCTTTCCAAGTGACCTTGGTCAGTACTCATACCCCGAGAGTTAGATGGTAATTGATTTTGTCTACCCTACACATTAAGTGCTATAGCGACCTTTTTAGTTGCATCTCTTCTTAATTACAGCAACGAATAGCTTTGGGATTCTCTGTGTGCCTTGTCCAAGAGCATTCATGCATTTCCTTTCTGTGAAGGGAAACTCCTGGGAAGTGCCTCTCCCCGCCCACCGTGTGTTTGTCTGGTTTCTGTATGTGTTTTGTTTGTTTTTGCAGAAACAGTCCACACTGGTGACGTGGTCAGCTAAGTCCACTTGAGTAAATCCCACCTCATCAAACTTCTTGCTTTTTTTTCCCCTTAAGGAAATAGGTCCTTCTGGCTGGCATGGTCAGTGGTTGAACGTCAACCTATGAACCAGGAGGTCATGGTTCGATTCCTGGTGAGGGCACATGCCTGGGTTGCGGGCTAAGATCCCCAGTGTGGGGCGTGCAGGAGGCAGCCGATCAATGATTCTCTCTCATCATTGATGTTTCTATCTCTCTCTCCCTTCCTCTCTGAAATCAATAAAAATATATTTTTAAAAAAAGAAAGAAAGAAAAATCTATGCCCCATGACATCTACAACTCCCACCCTGGCTCCTGCCACCAGCATCTCCCTGGTTACTGTCCACGGCAGCAATTGGTCTTCCATCTTCCACTCTGACCCCACAGCCCACTCGCCATGGCAGCAGGATCATAGAATGAGGCTTGCTTAGTCATACCAGTTGGTAGCTGTCACCTCAGTCGTTCAGCCTCTTTGGAGAGGATGTAAGTGGGTCCAAAAAGACCTGCGGAGCTCTGTTCTCCCACCGCAGCCGCTCAGGAGCGCGGCTGCTTCCTGAGCTGTTTGAAGGTGGAGGAACACAGAGGGGCGTCAGAAAGGACCGGTAGAAACTGCCCAGATCAGGGAAGGAAAATGTCACCCCCAGCGGAGACACAAAATAAAACAGCCAATTTTATTTTTATAATGTGAGCGACTGTCTTGTACGTCCATGAGTCACCGAAAGTCTGCTCCACTCGGATTGCTAACTCCCCCGCAGTGGCCTCTGCCCTCCTCTGCGGATATGGCGGGGGGTTTGGCTGGGTCTGGTTTCGGGTCAACAGGCTCCCAAACTTTTCATCGTGTGGCGGCGCCTTGCCCCGGTGAACGAAGAAAACCGATGCTCCTGCCTCACTCTCGGCATGATTTCCAAACTCACGCTAAAGTAGAATAATCTCGTTCTCTCTCCACTTCTGTTCAAAAGGCAGAAGAGTAGATCCTCTTATCACGTAAAAGGCTCCTCTAAAACATACCCCGAAGCGCAGGAAACTGTGCACCCTTTTATCTCACTTTATTATGAAGGCCTTTATGTCTCAGTTTATTGTAAAACATTCTGGAGAGAGGAACTGTTTTGCCTCTTGGGACGGGGCTTTATTTGACATTGAAATCCACTGAAAATGGCCGAGCAGCACATGAAGCAAAGCGGAGTTTCGTTGGTGGGATGCCTGCCTTTGTCCTGCCCGATAGTGATCGGTCACCAGACCACTGGCTGTGGGGCCTGTCTGAGCTTCTTTGTCTGTGCAGTGCTTTCTGTGGGAGTTCGGGGTGGCTGCTGGCCCACGGTCATGTTCACAGGCCGCCTCTTCGGCGGGGCTGCTCTGGCCCGACGGCTGTTGGCTGGGTCCCCAGGTACTTTCAGGGCAAGGACTGTTGTTAGAACCACCTGCCATCTGTCGGTGAAAATGTTTTGGATTCTAAATGATGAGTCACTCATTTCTCCTGCTGTTCCTTCTGCTGCCGGGACTAATTTGCCTCTTGGACTCCATCGGGGGACATACTGGCAGACCTTGCCATGGAGCTTTGTCCTATGCAGGGTTCACAGCCCTCGGGAGCCGTCTTCCTCGCGCCATCGCTAGAAACCGTGGCCTTTGCATTTCCACGAGGTGGGGAGAGGACACAGCGGCCATCCAGCCCGGGCCTCACTCGGGTCCTTTGGGGAGAAAGCCCAAGCGGCCGACTGCGGAGTCTAGGGGTGGTTCCACGTTTTCCTGCCCATGGTTTCTTGCTAGGGTGCCAATGGCCAATCACCAAGTGTGGCACCGGGTGGGGCCTCCAGCACTGTTGGTTACATGAATGACTAGGGTCTGGGATTGCTAAGTGGGCAAGGCAGACCTACCCAGGGCCACCGAGAGGCGTGCACTGGGCCCGGCTTAGCCCCTTAGGCCAGAGCCCCTCATTGGCAATGCCACACGCAGAGCCGACAGGACTCTGAAATTCTGAGATGGTCGGCTCTCACTAACCCCGAGAGGAGAGCGTGGGATGATGTCCAGGAGAAAGTCAGAGACTCTCCATGCAGACAAGCTTCATGCTGTGATAGAAGCAAGAGGGCTGGGGATGAGGACTTGGAGGAGAGCCAAGTGCTTTACCAAGGAGAAAACTGAAGGTCAGGTTTACAAAGCCCTCTGTCCACCAGAGTGTGGCAACCAGAGTCTTCGGCTGAAATATAAGATGCGCTTCTCCATCGACTCAGTTTCACACAAATCGGTTTTATTGTTAGAATCATCATCTTTTGTCCAAACGTTTATTAAGCTGTTTATTAAAAGTTTATTAAAAGTTCAAATCTAGCTTTACTCATATCTCTTAAAATATGTCTATGCTTCCTGCCTTCCATATTTTTCACCACCCCAAAACTCTAAGCTAAACAGCAGCGGCAAACCCCTAAATGCGGAAGGCTCTAACTGCTTCGAGCATGCCCCATTTCACTCAAGTCTTCTGAAGATTTCCTGCCTGGAGAAATTACCAAGTTCCAGGTGGGTGGCATTTTATTCTTACCGTAGAGTAGGTGTGATTTCGTGGGGGGCACTTCCCCCGCCCCTGCTC